CACATACAGGCTCACACCACACACACACTACACATACACACTCAGCACCCACACCACATATGCTCACCACACACTCACCATACACACCACATACTCACCACATGTACACTCACTCACATATACCACACACCTCCACTACATATACCTATACCCTTACCACACACACCCTCACTACATATCCTCACACTCACCACACATAACCCACAGTCAAACTTACACACACACCACCACAAACCCCACACTCACACTCAGTATACGTACACACGCTCACTAAAACGGACACACATGCCCCCGAAACGCATACCATACACACACAAACACACCCCGCAGTGCCAAGCTGCACTGGAGGGCCCCCACACGACTGCCCAGTGCTCACCCACTGATGACAGGAGGGCCGGGCGCGGGGGGCAGCGGAAGGAGGGCTCTTGCTCAGGAGGCTGTGACGGAACAGCCCGGTGCCACCGCAGAGCCAGTGGCGCTCCTCTGTCCGAGTAACAACGCAAAGGGGAACAGTCCCCCGGGGAGACCGCGCCCTGGAGCGAGACCGAAGCCAGGGGCAGCGAGCCCGGGGACAGGCCTGACGCTCCAGGGACCCTGCAGGCCAGGAGAGGCGGCAAGGCCTTGCCAGCATCACCACAGACCTCCCTGGACCCAGAGACTCTGGAGGTCAAGGACAGGCAGACCCAGGAGCCAGGGGCAAGGAAGCAACACTGCAGGGGACAGGCCAGCCTGGTGCAACGCGCGGGACCCTGTCGGGGGAGGACAGGACCAGCTGGGTCCCCCAAGCTCCTGAACTCAAGGCCTTCTCCCCCACCCCAGAAACCAGAGCATGGCGCGACCTTCCCCTAGAACTGCCGAGGGTCTCTGCCAGCCCCCACCAACCAAGCAGTGACCGTCAGTCTGCCTGCCTGCCTGCCTGCCTACCTCAGGACAGCTGCTCTGTCAGGGCGGAGGGGCAGGGGTCCCCGCTCCAGAGGCTCCACAAACACTCCCACCTCCTTCCCAAACTTGGCTGAGCGGCAGCGGCAGAAACATGTCCCCTATGGCAGAGGGGAGAACACTGGAGCAGCCGCACTGGGAAGGCAGGACAGCAGGCAGGGCACCTGCCCTGAACGTGGCCACCCCGGCCCCCCCCGACCCCACCCCCAAGCCCCAGGAGTTGGCCCTGAGCACAGGCCTGTGTGCTCCCAACCCAGAAACACTGCCAGAGTATAATACAAACGTGGCGTGGGGTAGCCCCCAGCACGCAGCCCACGCCGCCCTCACAAGGGGCACGCAACGGTGCCCGCGCTCTGTCACAGGCCCCCGTCTCGGCTTCCTTTCAGGGCGGTGCCAGCCGCACCCTCGCAAAGACGGGGCTCTCTCCTGCTGTGGCGCCCCATCATGCCCTGTGCCTCCCACGGAGGTGTTCCTGACGGGGAGCAGAAAGATCGGGACTGTCCTGCCTCGCTCCTGGGTCGCTGTCCACCACCAGCAGCACGAGGGGGCGGGTGCCCCAGCGTCCACCCTGCACCCCATGCCTGGAAGCTGGCCATCAGCTGGGCGCTCACAGTCCCTCGCAGGCTCGGTGGCCAGTGGCGAACGCCCCTCTGGGTGTGGGGGCCTGTCCCCCTGGGGCGGGCAGGCAGCAGGCTGCAAGTAGCCGGCAATGTGGGCACCAGAGTCAGGCAAGAACGACCCTGCCAGGAAGGAACAGACAGCTGGGCGGGGGCGCTCGGGCCAGGCCTCAGCCCACACGGGGCAGAAATCCTGCGACAGCCTCAGAAGGAAGCAGCGGGTGTCCTGAGACCCCGCACCAGGCTGACCCTGCGGACAGGCTGTGCCCGGTGCCTGGCCTTCTGCAGCACTGCCCAGACACACAGTCCTGCCTCGTTCACCTCGTTCTCTGAACTGGTCTGTGCATCAGAGGCAGGCAAAGAAGGTTCTGGACGCTTTCTCCATCCTCTCCAGAGCAGACGCAGAGTTGATTCTCACAGAGCCATCCCGGATACCGGGGAAGAAGCAAAACGCTGCCAAGAATTCCAACAGCCCCTACGACTGGACATGTAGCTCAGCCGGACACACGTCTTGGCAGCTGCCCTAGGAAGCATCATCCCAACACACTCTGCAGCCCCCACAAGCAAAGAACATTTGTGGGCAGCCCCTTTGGCAAACCCTAACCCAGTGTGTCTGGGTGAGAACAAGGTGTTCCTCAAGCAAAGGAATGAAATAAACTCATTCATTTGTTTGTTTGTTTGTTTGAGGGCTTAGCCCTGGCTCTGAACTCAGGAATCACTCCTGGCAAGCTCAGGGGCCCAAAATGGGTGCTGGGGATCGAACCTGGGTTGGTCACGTGTAAGAGTCCTGCCCTCTGCACTGTGGCTCCGGCCCCAGCATTTTGTTTGTGTTTTTTTTTTTTTTGCTTTTTGGGTCACACCCAGCGATGCACAGGGGTTACTCCTGGCTCTGCACTCAGGAATTACTCCTGGCGGTGCTAGGGGGACCCTATGGGATGCTGGGAATCAAGCCCAGGTCGGCCGCATGCAAGGCAAATGCCATACCCGCTGTGCTATGCTCCAGCCCCCACAGGGTACACTATTTTAGACACCAAATTGTATTTGCAAAAAATCTCTCACTGGGGTTCGGAGCCCAGGTTTGACTCCCAGGACCTAAGGAACAGTCCCTGAGTATCCGACCCACCAGGTGTGGATCGGAAACAAGACGAAAAAAGGCAGGTTCGACCCTGTCCACTGCCTTGGGGACCTCTGGGCTCCCGCCCTGCTCCTCGTGCAGGGTCAGGATTCCCTCTCTGCGACCTGACCAAGGTGCTCCTCTGTTCCGGACAGAGGGTCCCCTCCGGGGGTAAGCTGGAGGTGACCTTCGCCACATTCCCACAGCAGAGCAGCGGGGAGAGTGAGAGCCCCTCACTACTCCTCCTCCCCAACAGGGCCCCAGGTCTGCGGGCTGCACTGTCCACTGCACAGCTGGGCTTAAGGCCTCATTTCTGCGGCCTTCACCTCTGCGGGCTGCACTGTCCACTGCACGGCTGGGCTTAAGGCCTCATTTCTGCAGCCTTCACCTCACACCAACCACCTGACACAACCTGATGACATCCCAGACTTGGAGCTCTGCCAGGCTGCAGGAGATGGAAGACGGAGCGACTGTTCGCCACCTCTCAGCTCTGGGAGGGCACGGGCACTGCCACCCGCGGGCAGGGTGCTGGGCTCTACCCGGGGCTCGGGGGGCCGGATCGGCCTCCTGGGCAGGCGAGTGCAGCTGCGCGGCGGCCAGCACGGGAGAAGTGTGGCCTTGATGCTCCAGCACGGCTGACCCAAGTGCCACCACCGGAAATGACGAGGCGCTCTGCACCCTCTGCTTCCTGCTTCCCCTTCAAAATCAAGTGTCCCGGGTGCGTCTTCTCAGCACCTCAGCTGTGAGCAGGGCAGGCCTGAGGACGCTCTCTGACACGGAGACTGGGCAGCAGGAGGGGGAGCCGGCAGGCCCGGCCTCTCCAGCACACACAGTGGGGCTGCCTGCACGTGGTCAGCGTGAAGCACCAGGCGGGGCCCTCCCCAGAGCTCACGTCTACGACCTCCACACTGCCCGCTTTGTTGTTACTTTCATTGTGGGGCCACACCCAGCAATGCTCAGGGATCACTCCTAGGTCTCCCGGGTCTATGCTCAGGGATTACTCCTAGGTCTATGCTCAGGGGTCACTCCTAGGTCTATGCTCAGGGATCACTCCTGATCGTGCTCAGGGATCACTCCTAGATCTATGCTCAAGGGGCGCTGGGGACCGAACCAGGGTTAGCCACATGCAAGGCAAGCACCTTACCCGGTACTAACTCTCCGGCCCCGTAACTATTTCATTTTGACCAGGCCTCAACCAGACCCCCGAAAATCACTCCTTCACAGAGCACCACTGACAATAAGCACCGAAGGATGTCCACTCTAACAGTCGCTGCTCCTGCTGCTGTCGCATACCACTGGTGGCTCACACGAACGCAGCACCAGCCGAGCAGAGTGACCAAAACACAGAAGAGCAGCTGCGACTAAAACTAAGCGAGGCGTTCCAGCCACTACCACTGTCAAAGCAGGCACCACGGAAGCCACGCTGAGCCACGTTGGCAAGGAAGGGCCTCCCAACCAAAAGCCACGAGAAAATCCACACCGTGGCCACAGCTCCCCGTCCCCTGCAAGCTCAAGGTCAACGCCCAACCAGTGGGTCTCCCTGGCAGAAGCACCAGCCTCCCGGTCGCCTCACTGTGCGAAAGTGGGATGGATTTCTAGGACCTGCATCTCAAAACGTCCTGAGCTCATCTGAAACAAGCCCATTTAGGAAGGCTGGAATGAAGGCCACAGGCCCTACCCGGCTCCTGGGGGAAGCTCGGACTTCAGGGCCAAGAATTCTCCGAGAGCAGCACCATCCCGCCAAGAACTCAGCATTGTCGGAACCTCCTTTTCCCCTCCTGCAAGTCTGACTCCCACTTCGCCCTACAAAAGGAACTGGGAATTCCCCCTCAGCTGGGGGTGTGGATGGGAAGCAGGGCAGGGCGCTCAACCAGACCCCCGAAAATCACTTCTTCACACTCTCTGCAGAGCAGAGAGCTGCCAAGGGCACTGAGCACTGGGTCGGTGTGCGACACACCAGCCCCCCGGCCTTTCAGCTCCGCTCACGTGGACGGGAAGAGCTGCAGAAGCAGCTTGCGCAGGGGAGGAGGGCAGTTCCCGAGAGGGACCCAGCAGGTGCCCCCTTCGTCCCACCCAGCTCCGAGCCACAGATCCCACTGACCACAGACCCCTAGCCCCATCTTCCGGGCCCACTGGTTCTCACAAGCTAACACAAGATGCTGTGAGGGAGAGGACGCCCCAAATCACGGTCCATCGGTCCCTTCCCGGCCAGCCACACAGGGCTGCAGGCGGAGAGGGGGCGGGGAGGCAGGAGGGCAGGCCGGAGGTCATTCTCCTGCCGGGGTTCTACCGGGGGTAGGGGGACACGAGCGGCCCACAGAGGGTCTTACCTGTGTAGCCGGCTGACCAGCCCCACGAGGCCACCATGCCCAGCAGCCACTTGTACATGATCCCTTCCAGGTACCAGAAGCGCGGTGGGTCCAGCAGGCGCAGGGGCTGCAGCGCCAGCACGTAGCAGACGTAGGACGGAATGGCCACCAGGTTGTTGAGCACCATGAAGACGAAGCGCAGGAGGCCCCGCAGCAGCACGCAACCCAGCCGCCGCGCCTCCTCCGTGCTGCCAGCCATGCTTGCGTCCCGCGGCATCTGCAGGGAGAGGGTCATGCTGCGGCCGGCCGCCGGGGGCTGGGTGCAAGCGCCCCGCCCGCGTCCTCTCCAAGGAGTGCCCTGCCCGCGCCCTCCCCTGCCCGGGGACCCCCCCCCCCCCGCCCGGGCCCTCCCCTGCTCAGGCACCCACGGTCCGCGCCCTCCCCTGCCCGGGCACCCCCGGTCCGCGCCCTCCCCTGCCCGGGGACCCCCGGCCCGCGCCCTCCCCTGCCCGGGGACCCCCGGCCCGCGCCCTCCCCTGCCCGGGCACCCCCGGCCCGGGCCCTTCCCTGCCCGGGCACCCCCGGTCCGCGCCCTCCCCTGCTCGGGCATCACCGGCCCGGGCCCTCCCCTGCCCGGGCACCCCCGGCCCGCGCCCTCCCCTGCCCGGGCACCCCCGGCCCGCGCCCCCTGCCCGCCCCCCGCTTCGCACCGCGCTCGCCGCCCCCGGCCCGCGCCCATCGCTCGGCCCGGGCGGTCACGGCCACGCTCGGGCCGGGGCGGCGGGGCCGGGCGGGGAGGCCGGGGCCGGGGCCGGGCCCGGGGCGCGGCGGGGACAGAGGTCGCGGCGGCCGGGTGGGCCCGAGGCGGCGCGGGCGGTTTCCGCGGGCCGGGCCGGGCTCACCTCGGCGCGCGGCGGGGCCGGGGGCGCGGGGCGCGGGCCGCGGGGCTGCGCGGCGGCGGCGGCGGCGGCGGGTGTCCCCGGCCGGGGAGCGGCGGTCATGGACGCGGCGCCCTCGTCCGCGCGCGGCTGCCTGCGGACACGGGGACGCGGGCTCAGAGGCCGGAGCTGTCACCGGGGCGGGCCCGGGGAGGCGGGCGGACGGCGCGGCCCCCGCCTCCTCCTCCTCCGCCGCCGCCCGCCCGCCCGTCCGCCCGCGCCCGCCCGCCCGCGCCCGCCCGCGCCCCGCGCTCACCTCGGGCGGGCCGGGCCCCGGGCCGGGCGGCGGCGGCGGCGGCGGCGCCCGCGCGGCCGGAAGAATGCATGGCCGGGGGGGCGGAAGCGGCGCCGCGCCCCGAGCGCCCCCTAACGAGGCCTCGGCGCGGGGGGCGCGCGCCGAAAGGCCCAGAAGGGAAGCGCCGCCCCGGGAGCGCCCCGCGCCGCAGTGGAGGCCGCGCGCCCGCGCCCCGCGCCGCCCCGCGCCCGCGCCCGCCCCGCGCCGCGCCCGCGCCCGCGCCGCCCCGCACCCGCCCGCCCCGCGCCGCGCCCGCGCCCGCGCCGCCCCGCACCCGCCCGCCCCGCGCCGCGCCGCGCCCGGACCAGGGAGCCCGGTCCGCGCGTCCCCAGGAGGGCAAAGTTGCGCACCACCGTGGCGGGACGAGGGGCGCAGACCGCCCCCCGGCCCCGACAATACCACCAGGGACAGATCCCCTGGTAACACCCCAGGGCCCACCTCCTGCATAGACCCCAGGACTCACCCTCCCTGGCCAGATGCCCTGGTCAGGTCCAGGACCCACCCTCCGGGCACCTGCAGGGCCCAGGCCCCTGAACCCCAGTGGCCCTGCCCTTGGTGCCCCTCCCAGCCTTTCGTATTTCACTCAGAACGCCCCCACGAAGGCCTCTCCCCGACCTGCTGGGGTGCTTCCCTTCAAGCACCCCAGCAGGTCTTCAACTTCAGCTCCTTACAGGTGAGGGAAAGAAAACCCCCTCAGGGCCAGGGGAGATTATTTTCCCTCCCTCTTCCCTAAAGGCACGAAAGCCCAGGCACGTAGGATTCAACCCTTTCCATTTAGTAGCCGTTTGCTTTTCCTCTTTTTTTTTTTTCTCATTTCTGTCATTTCTCTGTGTCACTAATATTACAACACTCCCAGCAGGGCATGAGAGGACACTGACCCTTTTGGAACTTTCCATGAGGTTCTGCTGATATCCACCACTAAGGGGGCTTCGCCATTTCTATGGCCTGAGCACCTACACCACAGGTCATAGCTCTGCTGTTTTGTTTGGTTCTGGACCACACCCGGCACTGCTCAGGGTCATACCCATCTCTGTGCTCAGGGTCACTCCTGCCTCTGTGCTCAGGGCTCCCTCCTAATTCTGCGGTCAGGCTCACTCCTGTCTCTGTGCTCAAGATCACTCCTGCCTCTGTGCTCGGGGTCACTCCTGGCTCTGTGCTCAGGCTCTGGTGGGGCTTGGAGAACTCCAGCCAGGGACCCCAGGCTGGTGCATGCAAGGCAAGTGCCTTAGCTTCTGTGCTCTCTCTCTGGCCCAGGAGTGGCGTCTTTAAATAAAGTTCATGAGAAAGATGATGTGTGTGCCCCAGGCCATCATCCAAAATGTGTCCTTAGATTTGAAGTGAGTAAGCCAGATGGGGCACACATGTTCCCCAGGAACCAGAGGCAAGTCACGGGAGAACTGCTCCTCTTGGCCCCTAAACAGTGAAGTCATGTGTGGCAGCCCCCACATGCCCAGAGAGAGGCCCCACTGGAAAGGACCCTGGCATCCTGGAACACAGACACAGGGCGTGCTGGGGCTGGACTGTGCTCGGGTGCGGTCTGGCGCCGTGGCGGGCCTCCTCACACACGTGTGAGCAAATGCATCCGGTGGGGGTCAGCAGGAACAGGAACCTCCTGGGCCTCGCACCCCCCAACATCCGACTCTGGGCGGAGGGCTCTCACTCCTGCTTTCCGACACTAGCCTGGAGGAAGTCCTGACTTGAAGCCCTGACCTTGACAGGTTCAAGGCAGCCTTGCCCCACGTAGACACACCCAGACTCACACCTGCTCATTGGCGACTGTCTGTACTCTCTGGCTTCTCAGCGGCGGGTCTCAGGTGCGGGTGTTGGGGTTCTCTGGCGCCTCTCTGCCGGACTGGCAAACGGCCTCACAGGCTGCCTCTCCGAGCAGACTGGGCGACGGCACCTCTGCGAACACCCATCTCTCAGGGACCCTTCTGTGAGCCCAGGTAAACCGAATTCCTCCTGAAGGGTCTATCTCCCGTTTTGTCAGGTTCTGAGGGGTTGGGCTTAGTGTGTGGGCTCAGGGGGGCACCATCCACCCACTCAGCCTTGGGTGTGCACACCAAGCTGAGCCTGGCTGCCAGCGAGGGCAGGCGTGCCAGACTGGGTGCCAACTCCAGTCTGCCCCTGCCTGTCCCACAGTGCTCCCCTCTCTCACCGTCCGCCGACCCACAGCAAGGATGCTGGACACGGCTGTTGTCTTGGAGACCAAAGCATTTCGTTCTGTCTCTGGCACCGGGGAGTCTGTCTCTGGGCTTTCTGGGGGCCAGTTCAGTGGGGGGGCTCTGAGGCCCCCTTCCTTATCTCCCGTTCCTTTCAGAGTCCTTCCTTGGACCCTGGGGACTAAGTAGCTCCAGCCTGGAACCTTCACATAGGTCCCTTCTCGTTCTGTGGCCCTACCCCTCTCTGGGAGCCCCCTGCCTTGGACAGACAGGCCCACCCACACTTGCCTGCTGGACCTGGTGCTTCCGCAACATCAGAGCACAACAAGAAAGCAAGAACCTTGCTGAAGGTCTGACTGGCTTCCCGTCCCCTGTCCTGCCTCCTTAGAGTCGCAGCAAGCACAGCACAAACAGGAATGACGTCAAGAGTTTCAGCCTCGCAGGCACCCCGAGTGGTGGTGGGGAGCAGCCCCAGGGGTGGGTCTGACCCTGCTAGAGCAGGAGGGCAGGAGGGAGACGCAGGCTCTGCCGTGGGGTGGGGTGTCTCTGGATACTGGAAACACGAACCACAGCACTGTAGGTCTAACTGGGTCCATCTGGCCCACAGACACACAACAAATTAGGTTTTAACCAGGGAGGGGCTCCCTGGGGCTTGTTCCTAGTGGCAATTACACAAACATTCCACCTGCCCGCACCACCTTCGGCACAAGGCTCCAGCGAGCCATTTCCTCCCCGGGGGCTCCCGCCTCAGCCAGCCTGAGCACAGCTCCCCCGACCCAGATCACTCAAAGCAGGTGTAACCTTGAAGTTTCCTCCCTGCCCCGTCCCCCGCGACTCTCCATTGCGGGTCTTGTCAACTCTAACTTCAGAGAGGGCTGGGAAGGGCATGGACAGCCAGAATGTCCGCCCTAGTGCCTGGCAGCCACTCTCGCAGGAGAGCACCTACCCCTGCACCAAGGCTGGAGCACAGCTGCTCTGACCTGCTCCATGAGTCAAAAGCCACTTTTTTCTGAGCCCCTACCCACCCCCCCCCCCCCCGTGCAGCTCCCACCTTCATACCCAGTTCCCGAAGGCTCAGAGCTAGCCCCTGCATCAAAACTGAGTGAGAGGGGCCGAAGCGATAGCACAGCGGGTAGGGCATTTGCCTTGCATGCGGCCAACCTGGGTTCGATCCCCGGCATCCCATATGGTCCCCTGAGCACCACCAGGAGTAATTCCTGAGTGCAGAGCCAGGAATAACCCCTGAGCATTGCTGAGTGTGACCCAAAAAATTAAAAAAAAAACTGAGTGAGAAACTCTCCCCACCCAATATTGCATCTGAGTTCCTGCTTCCAGCAGACATTCCCTAGTCCATCTGCAAGGCCCACAGCAAGACGCTGGGTGGGCACGTCCGAGGGAGTGACGCATTAGGAAGGGCTGTCCGGAGCCCCCGCCCCCCGTGCCTTACTGAGTGCCGACTGGGGGGCGGCTTCAGCAAGAACACCATCTACGGAGTGAGACGAGGACACTGTCTACACAGCCACTGGAATAAGGGTGCTGTCTGCACAGCCAGGCAGGGATGGACAGGCAAGGCATGCATGGACTTTAGATGACGTTGCCTAACACGAGATCCTGTTCCGGCTGCTGAGGACCGCAATGATGTGGCCTTTCGTTGACCCATTTCAGCATCCTGTGCGCACACTCAGTACTTGGCAGGCACCAACACACGCAGCCTCAGAAAGGCTTTGCAGGGACCACACAGTCCCCACATTTCACAAACACAGAGAGCAAGCACTCTGCCCGGGGCGAGTGGCATGAGACACCAAAGGCCCAGACCTGGTTCTCCGGTGGGAAGGCTCTTCTCAGAGAAACAGATGAAGGCAGAACACAGGGAGAACAGCACAGGCAGATGCAGAGGGCAGTTGGCCTGTGAGACCCCTCCTTGCTCTGCCCTCACCTGTCCCACACTGGCCATCTTGGAGGAAAGAATTTGGTTTGCAGGGACCCCGGCGCCTGTCCCCACAGCAGCCTCAACAGATCATGCGGGCATAGAATTACTCTCTGAGGGCAGGGTCAGCACCTCATCTCCCAGCGCTGACCAACCCTGCAGCTGCCTCCTGACCTCCCCCTCATCCTGGGGTTAGTATCCGACCTGCTTCCAGGCCCAGAGCAGACAGGTGGCGGGTCGCCCCTCTCCTTCCCTGCAGCGCTGACAGTGGGAAGGTCACACAGTGGGAAGGTTCTCACACTCGAGGTCAGAACCCACCATCAGGGCTGGGACTCATGATGAGGGCAGGGCAAGGCTGACACGCTCACTGCTATAGGGCCCCTCCCTCCTTTGCCCTGTACATCTGCTCCCAGTCATTCGACTCCTCAGAGGTGGTGGGTTTTTGAAGGTTAGGGGACACTCAGTCTTGTCCTTCCCCAGGCTCAGTTCTGCCCCCAAGCCAGCCTACAGCTGCTAGCTCCTTCCGGCTCCCAGCAGCAAAGAGCAGAGGAGGTCAGGGAGAGGGCCCCTCTCACAGGGCGTAAGAGAGGGACCCCGTTTCGTTCCCCAGTTGGGGGGCTCAGAACGGCTTGTCCTCCCAGCAGGAAAGACTTGGCAAGGGGGCTGGCCGGAAAATGAGCCCCCACACAGTTCCAGGCACATGCATGCACACACTGCACACACGGACACACAAATGCACACCCACAACATGTGCAGGCCACGCGTGCACACCGCAAGCACACACGCAAACACATATACACAACACAAGCAGCACAAGTATTGGCTTCACATGCAGCGTACCTATGCCCATACCATGCATACCCCACATACATGTTCACCACAATTAG